GGGGGGAGGGGTGTGTGGCGGAGGGCTTGAAAATTGATGACACATTCCGCGGTCCGCAACACGAACTCGTATATTTTATAAAAAGTAAAATCAGTTTAGGAACCCACAAATGAATGTGTTGTTGCTGTGCTTGTCGCCGGGCAGTACATACGCAGCCCTTCCTTCACCTTCACTTCTTGTTATCGCCTCAGCGCAAGCATTTGTAACGTCCAAATATATTTAATATTCTATGTGCGGTACCACCCAAAGAAATCACCCGAGGAAATCACTCTCCACGGATATTAAATGATTAGAATTCTCTCAAGGTATGCTATTCATGTAGCATACATAGACAAATTAGTACCCTTTTTAATGACTAGGAACATGATAATATATACTCACTAAGGTCTCAATACACTCGTACGAAAATCGTACTACGATTTTCTAGGTCAGCTCGAACAAGTAGCAACTTCGGGTATACACAATAGGTATGATTTCACAGTCAAATATTATACAAATTAATCCTTACAGCCGAGTTATTAGTAAATAAATCAATTCGGCACTTCGCTTATTATTGTTAGCTAAATACACAAGAGAGAAATGATGATGTTATGCTGTGAATATCCCACTATTTAAAATTGAGCTAATCATGGTCAAATTCGAAGCTGATTCGCGTATGCAACCCCCTGAGGACCGGCCCCCCCCCCCCCTCTATAAATATATTTGTAAATATATAAAATAAAATAAAAAGATATCAATTTTGTGCACTCTGCCAAATAGGTAAATGATATAATAAATACACAAAAATGTCGTAAAATGTAAAATTCCTGGCCCAATCTGCTTGGATGATCCTGAGTTCAAATGGTTCGTGTCGTAATGTGTTGGTCGTAAATCAGCAATCCTTGCCATATTTGGATGCACTCCGTCGAAAATTCACAAACAGAGAGCGACGAGAAATAATAAACCTAAGTGTAACACTCACACATTTTGCATACAGCACCACTTGTAGTATCATACGGATAGAATTATGCCCCGTAAAACCTATGATAGAGCGGCCATCGAGGCTCACGCTGCGGCAGTAGTCCGTGATTATGTTGCGAAGCCTCGCGTAGGTATGTCTGAGCTATAAAGTTGTATACGGATAATTTTGAGTGCCGATGACAAGAACCGAAACAAATGGAGCTTTTTAACAACGTGAGGTCATCTGACTCTATTATACCGAGATAGTAGTTGACGAGGCAAGAGCCACCGTTTTTTTGGATATAGATAGGTGGTAATAATATACTAGATATAAGAAAGTTTACGAGCGTAGTATAGTAGATGATACATTGCAGTTTCTGTGACACGTCTCCATATTGTCTGACTGTGTCTCCATATACTTCGTTACTTATATCGGATTCGTCTTGTCGACGAGTAGCACCAATTCTATCGATTTTTGTGTTCGAATTTATGTTTTGTTTTGCAATTGCTAGGTTGACGTATATAGAAGTTTCAGGTCTCTCATTGTTTCTCTTTATTTTCCAACTAGTAATATAAGTATGTCAGTGTTAGTTAGATTCTGAATACAAAGCTTGATAACTCCCAAGTATTATCAGTCGCGACAATGTGGATCGCCGGTGTTAATGTGTTATAGTTTATTTGTTTTCCAGTATACACGTTGCCGGCGGAAATATTCTATGTATAATTATCTATCCTGCAAAATACTCCAACGCATGATCAATTCAGCTATCGATATTGTTGTACGCAGTTGTGCATAGCCGCATGTACATTTTTAGAGTACTATATGTTCTTGAATTTCGATGATGTCATATATATATATTTTGAACTGTGGTCACGGCGTTTCCAGATCGTGGTATATCGTTGAAGTTGCGGTAATATACGCTATTCTAAAACACCGCAATCCGTTTCGTTTCCATCTGCAATAGAGTATCGCACAGTTAACGCCGTAAACGGACCTCTGGTCGTGCTTGAAAATGTGAAGAACGCACAGTTCCAGGAGATTGTCAGTCTGACTCTACCCAACGGTGAGGTACGTTCTGGTCAGGTCCTCGAAGTCCAGGGTAAGAAGGCCATTGTACAGGTATACGAGGGTACATCAGGTATCGATGCGTCCAAGACCACCGTTGATTTCTCAGGTGACATTCTGCGAACTTCGGTGTCCGAGGATATGCTTGGTCGTATCTTCAACGGTTCCGGTAACGCTATTGATAACGGACCCAAGATTATGGCGGAAGACTACATGGACATTCAGGGTCAACCCATTAACCCTTATGTGCGTGAGTACCCCGAGGAAATGATCCAGACTGGTATCTCGACCATCGATGTTATGAACAGTATTGCCCGAGGACAGAAGATCCCCATTTTCTCCGCCAATGGTTTGCCTCACAACGATGTCGCCGCACAGATCTGTCGCCAAGCCGGTCTCGTGAAGAAGGTCAAGGACACAAAGGACGGACACGAGGACAATTTCGCTATTGTTTTCGGAGCTATGGGTGTAAATATCGAAACGGCGCGTTATTTCAAGCAGGATTTCGAGGAGAACGGTTCAATGGAGCGTGTGTTGTTATACCTCAATTTGGCCAACGATCCAACTATCGAGCGTATTATCACTCCTCGTATCGCCCTTACGGCTGCAGAATACCTCGCCTATCAGTGCGAGAAGCACGTGTTGGTTATTCTTACAGATATGACCTCGTATGCCGAGGCTCTGCGCGAGGTGTCAGCCGCAAGAGAGGAGGTGCCCGGACGTCGTGGTTTCCCCGGTTATATGTACACTGATTTGAGTACCATATATGAAAGAGCCGGTCGTGTGGGTGGCCGAAACGGATCTATCACACAGATTCCTATTCTCACTATGCCTAACGACGACATCACCCATCCTATCCCCGATTTGACTGGTTATATCACAGAGGGCCAGATCTATCTGGATCGTCAATTGCACAACAAGCAAATCTACCCACCTATTAATGTACTACCATCTCTGTCACGTCTGATGAAGTCTGCTATTGGAGAGGGTATGACACGTCACGATCACGGCGACGTCTCCAATCAGCTGTACGCCAACTTTGCCATTGGTCGCGATGTCATGGCCATGAAGGCCGTTGTCGGAGAGGAGGCCTTGTCCTCTGAGGATCTTCTATACTTGGAGTTCCTCGAGAAGTTTGAGCAGCAATTCATCACACAGGTAAGTAGTGCTTTCTGTGGAAGTGTAGGTGCTTGCGGAATATAGCAGATGGTTGCTTGTAGCTTGGTATACACCTGGGTAGAGAAGGATCACGTAATACGTTGACACAATCCATCCACTGATATGAGTGAATATGGAGTGAAGGTGTTACCACTGCACGTACATACACATCGGTTCTTTAAAAATCATCTATCTAGAAAACATGCGCCTGCAAGCATTATGTATCGGGCTATTCGGGTATTGGCTGTTTAGGAAACAAATTTGCCATATCTTGTCTAATTTTGTAATGCACCTTTCATTGATATGTATACAGGGTACAAATGATAACCGATCAGTTATCGAGTCATTAGAGCTCGGTTGGTCGCTTCTTCGTATTTTCCCCAGAGAAATGCTCAAGCGTATTCCCGGCAAGGTCTTGGACGAGTATTATCAGGTATGTCAGGCATTAAAATATTATGTATGTAGCAGTGCTATGTTGTGATGTATTTTGTATATTCAAATCAACTCTTGTATCGACTAATGTAAGCTACGACATGATGCTTTCGAGCGTAACTCAAATATTGACCGTGAGAGCACATCCGTATACCCGATTCTCAAAAGTTGGAAGTATATATATATATACAGATCAATGTTCATGTCAATTTAAATTGTTTGTGCGATCCTTGTGTGTATTTTGTCGACCACTCTGAAATCAAAAGTTTGGCGTCCCTGCAATTCCGTGTGATTCTTTTGGTGTCAAATTGGGAATGCTGTGTATATTCTTGATTGCGTGAGTTCTGAGGTACTTGTTCCCACTTGTCCCAGGCAGCGGCATAGCACATGATTGGACAGTGTATTCTTCTTCTAATTTTTAAGTAGTGATATGACCGACATGTGAGATGTATGCCTGGATTATGTTCTAATGTCATTGTTATTTCTTACAGCGCGACTCTGGGTCGTCGAGTTAATTAGGCCAAGAATGTTAAGAAGACTTCGAGGAAACACAAGCTCATAAACAGTATGGGTCAATGATCTAGAGAACATTTACTGCTTGTTGGTAAATACACACGGTCTTTGGAAAGACAGATTAATGTTGTTGTACGTAATAAATGCCGTGTGCCCAATTTTGAACCGATATATAATACGTTTTCTGCGTTGAATTTACATACTGGCGTCTTAGATATACCGATATAGCCTCGCTTCCATGTGCAAAGTAGCTGGTATGACACTCCTTGTGCAGGTTATGGATATGCAAAGTTCTGATGAGTACCCGTGCTGCAGTGGTTGTGCACAATTTGATTCTGAATTCGATTGATTGTTTTGGGCGTTCCGGATTACAGTATCCGTTTCGAATTTATATACTCGAAGATGAGTACTGAAGTGCTGCATTGTGACGAGTTGATATAAGTTTTTGTACTGCAAAGCTTTGCATGCCATAGTACCACTTTCTGCGATATACCGACCCTGTTTCTTATTCGAAAATTCTTCCGGCAAGAACGGTGAATGGTGCTTGACAAGGGTTCGAAAATAATCCGATGGTCCTGAAGTAGACTTGCTTATTGTTGACTAAGCCTACACTATGACAACAACCTTGAAGGATGTACCATAACAGTGCCGTCACCCTGGTTTTTGCCTTTGTTTATTTGGAAAGAGAGAAATGAATTGTTTTGGAAAATATCTCTGTACAACGATTGAGGCGATGTCATTAGCCCTGTAGAGAAGCTTAGCCAGAAGAAGACGTGTTATGCGTTTGAAAATCAAAAAAATTATTCGGCCGACTCTGAGTCCGCCTGTTATCCTACTTGGCAGGCACCCGAGTGAGAATTGAAATCGACCTTTGGTAATATATCGTACATAAAGAATACTTTGACAAACAAATAAAAGCTTCAGCATTTAATAAGGCTAGTGCTCATCGTAATATAACAAATCGAACAAACAGCAAGCCGTGTATTTTTCAAATCTACGATAAAAACAGCGAGTACACGAGAAATTAAAATTGTTCCCTTCCTGTCAATAGCAAAATTATTGTTCCCCGGAGAACAGGGTATGCATTGGTGTGTCCTATGTGCGTTGGGTATATGGCACAACTGATAATATTAGACACTCATTTGGTAGCAAGGACACTCTCAGTTACACATATATATTATACATGTACTGTACACAAACTTAAACACTGCCCGGGTATTAATAGCATCATTTGCGCTCATGTACATGCGCTACTTTTGCGAGCTCAAATAAGTGTCTAGCAATCGAAACCCAAAACCCTAAAAGTTCGTTTTAGCAGAGAAAATAAACTAAAATACAAAAACTCTAGAGCAAATAAAACTTTGTTTTGTGAATCTCGGTGTCAATGACAACAAAATCATCGTAAATATGTATGTATTTTACATTCCCTTCACTATATATATACTCTCGTGCAAAACAGTCTCGCAGTACTTGTACGCGATTCAAATCTAGGCATTATGGGGGACGAACTTTTTGACGTGAAGAACAGTTTCTACTTAGGACATTTTCAGCAGACAATTCAGGCTGCACAGGACTTTCATGGAGCAACTCCCGACGCGGAAACAGAGGCGAAAGTGTTTATGTACCGTGCGTACATCGCTCAGGTATGTGTGCTTACAAATAGGTCCTAATCATGAATGTTTTCGAGGAAACGAGACCAAATGGCGATGTAGTACAAAATTCCAAGCCAACAACTTTAATCCTTGTCCAAATAAGCATGGAAAATATAATATATTTTAAACACAGGTTGCATGCACATGAACGTATAGATAAGTCCGTACAGATATGGTATA